TCTCTGATAGCTACTCACTTTTTTTGTCTTTGCTGCTACAAACCATGCTGCAACAATCACTCTTGTACCATGTTCTTTCACAGACGAGTAAGTTAAATCATTACCCACCAGCCTACCCACTCTACTGAAAAAATCTGAAAGATTGCTGTGAATCCTTTTGAACTAAAATAAAAATTAGAGAAATGCCTGAATGAGACTATAAAAAATCCTCCATAACCTCACCTGCCAGAGGTAACTGCCATTAACTTTTTTTTTTTTGAGACAGAGTTTTCACTTTGTCACACTCAGTAGAGTACCTGTGTCATAGCTTACAGCAACTTCAAACACTTGGGCTCATGTGATCCTTTTGCCTCAGCCTCCTGGGTAGCTGGGATTATACCTGCCCACCACAGTGCCTGGCTTTTTTTTAAAGATGGGGTCTTACTCTTGCTCAGAGTGGTCTCGAACTCCTGAGCTCAAGCAATCCACCCACCTTGGCCTCCCATAAGGCTAGGATTATAGGCGTGAGCCTGTGCCCAGCCTAATTGCCATTAACTTTGGAGTATACTTTTCCAGACTTTTTTTATGCATGTGTCCGTATGAATGTGTACATGCGTATATTCCTAACAGAAATGGGCTTACGTTGTAAACACACTTGCTCAGCTTTTCTTTCTTTTTGTTTTTTTGAGACAGAGCCTCAAGCTGTCCCCCTGGGTAGAGTGCTGTGGTATCACAGCTCACAGCAACCTCCAACTCTTGGGCTCAAGCGAGTCTCCTGCCTCAGCCTCCCAAGTAGCTGGGACTACAGGCGCCCGCCACAACGCCCGGCTATTTTTTGGTTGCAGCTGTCGTCGTTTTGGCGGCCCTGGGCTGGATTCGAACCTGCCACCTTAGGTGTATCTGGCTGGTACCCTAGCCACTTGAGCCACAGGCGCAGAGCCTGAACTGCTATTTTTAATGATTGGTTCTTTTCCTTACCATCTTGGCTCACTGAAACATCCCTTCCTCCCCTGCTGTTTAGTGTGTTGTCTCTCTTTTTTCCCTCAAATATAGCCACTCTTTAAGTTTCAGTCCCCAGATTTCTAGATATTTGTTTTTTATTTCTAACTGGATAGCCCAGTATCACGTGCATTAACCACTTTCCCGCTTTACTCCTTTTTCTGGATATGGGGCCTGCCATTTCACTTAGTTACCCTGGTTCTTGGCTTCCAGATCTTTCCTTTGGCCCTTCTTTCTCCTTTGGTGCTTCCCTCTGAGTTGGTGCCATGGTGCTGTTAGGTTGGGGCACTCTTGGCCAGTCTGCAATCTTCCTCCTCCTCCTCTCTCCCTCCATTTTGTGCTGATGAGTTTTCACACTTGCCCTCATCTTGTGCAGACTCCCGAGTCAGATAGTTAAGATTTTACATTCTGGGCAGCGCCTGTGGCTCAAAGGAGTAGGGCGCTGGCTCCCTATGCCAGAGGTGGTGAGTTCGAACCCAGTCTCAGCAAAAAAAACCTGCAAAAAAAAAAAAAAAAAGATTTTACATTCTGGCCAGTGCCTGTAATCCTAGCATTCTGGGAAGCCAAGGAGGGTGGATTGACTGAGCTGAACCTGAGCCAGAGCAAGGCCCAACCTCTAAAAACAGCTGAGCATTGTGCTGGGCGCCTGTAGTCCTAGCTACTGAAGAAGTGAGGCAGGAAGATCACTTGAGCCCAGGAGTCCGAGGTTGCTGTGGGCTTTGATGCCATGGCACTCTACCAAGGGCAGCAAAGCAAGACTGGCTCAAAAAAAAAAAAAAAAAAAAAAGATTTTACACTCTTCTTCCAAGTTTTCTTTTTACTCTTCCCTCTCACTATTTCTTCCTCCCCTCTGCCTCCCAGAAATCCTTTGTTCAAGCCAAGCTGGCCCATTTGGTCTGTCTCCTGTGTATGTCTTGGGCTTGACTCTTTCTTGGCTCTTCCCCTGCCTTCTAGAGTGGCTCCTGACTCCTGCCTGGTGGAACTTGCTGATGAGGTGGGCTCTGGTCATCCATCTCATGTTGAAGGTTCTGCTGACCCAGTAGAAAAGTGCCCTTTATAGTCACAGGGCAGAGCTCTGTGGAATGGCTCTCTCCCCCACTCTCCTGCCTGGCCCTCACACTATTGTGAAGTCCTGACTCCAAGGGCATGGGTGGTGGAGGGTGGGGAGGAGAGGGTATGCAAGGGAAGGTCAGGGGCCTATCCTGCCTCCCTTTGTGCTTCAGTAGGACAACTCCTTTCTACCAAGGGAAGGAAGGCTGAGGTGCAAAGCTTGCAAAAAGCTCCCTGCTGGGGAAGTCTCTTCCAGGAAGCCACTGCTCATCAAATACTTGGGGAAGGGGCTGTGGTTAGGGGCTGTGGTTAGGGCGATTTCTTTTCTACCATTCTGTGACCTGGCTAGATGGGTCTCCCACACAGTCCTTACAAAGACTAGCATTAAAGCAACTATGATTTCCTATTAATAGGACAAGTCTAACTGAGAACTTGATGGAGAACCTTCAACGTGAAAAGGTAAGAAAACCATCAGAATTAATAAAGGGAGGGGGCATCCCAGAGCCACTCAAATGCATCACTCATCAGCATAGAAGTGCAGTGGTTTTGGCCCGGTGTGGTAACTCACATCTGTAATCTCAGCACTTTGGGAGACTGAGACAGAAGGATGACATGAGACCAGGAGTTTGAGACCAGCCTGAGCAGTAGAATGAGAGCCCGTCTGTACAGAAAATACAAAATTAGCCAGGCGCCATCATGTGGGCCTGTAGTCCCATTACTTTGGGGCCTGAGGTGGGAGGATTGCTTGACCTCAGGAGTTTGAGGTTACTGTGAGCTATGATGATGCTGCCCCTGCACTCCTGCATGGGCAACAGAGAGACCCTGTCTTAAAAAAATAACCAGTGTTCTCTGTAATAATGGGTTGCAACCTTACAGGGCCAGGTGGGTGTCTTAAGTGTGTGCCACAGAAGGCTGCATGGGCCAGAAGCAGCAGTGCGCCCAAGGCTACCAAGTTGCAGTCTATATGTGTCTACACTTAGTTTTGTCCAGTAAAATCGTGTTAGTGGTGGGGAGGGCTGTATATATCAAGGCAGATATATATTGAGTGTTTCTTTCTTTTTTTTTAAAGACAGAATCTCACTTCATTACCCTCAGTAGAGTGCTATGGTGTCATAGCTCACAGCAACCTCAAACTCTTGGGCTCAAGCAATGTTCTTGCCTCAGCCTCCCAAGTAGCTGGGACTATAGGCACCCACCACAATGCCTGGCTGTTTTTAGAGATGGGGTCTCTCTCTTGCTTAGGCTGGTCTTGAATTCCTGAGCTCCATCTTGGCTTCCCAGAATTACAGGTGTGAGCTACTGCTCCTGACCTTGGGTGTTTCTTGTGTGCTTTGGGCTAGAGAATATAGAGATACTTAATACAAATGAAATTAAGATTAAATCTGCCATTGCCTTGAAGAGCTCACTGAGAGATGAGTAATAACAAGAGCTGTCATTTATTGTGTGACTGTAGTTTGCTGGGGCTTCATGTGTATTCAGGCATCATTTAGGTCTCAACTACACCCCTGCATGGTAGGCAGGTACTGTGGATCTCCATGAGGGAGTACTGTGGAAAACCCTGTGGCTCAGAGAAGTAATGTGACATGTCAATAGCCTGCAAGTGAGGGAGGCAGGTGGGATTCCGACCCAGAGCTCTGGGACTCTTGCTCTTTACACTTATGGGCAGGTGTGCACAAGTGTCATGCCATGGGAGGAAAGTAGGAAGAAAGCCTGGGAATGTGGTGGTGGCAGTGAAGCCTCTCACGGGAAAGTCATGAAAAACTCCCCAGTGGAGGTGTCCTTTGAGCTAGACTCTAAAGAGTTAGGTAGAAGTCCCCTTGGGGGTAGACAAGCTATGTTGTGTATAGGGGATAAGGTGAATAAATGTGGAATGTTTGCTGGGTTTGGGGGTAGTGGGGAGCAGTTGGTGTTCCTGGAACACGGTGTAGGCATTGAAACTAGAAAAATGGGTGAGAGCTGGTTATGAGGGCTTTGAACGCTTTGTACTCAGGAGTTGGGGGTGGAGAGCATAGTTATGGAGAGTGTCAGAGACCATAGAGTTGTTGGTCAGGTTTGCCAGTGTTGGGAGGTGATTGGAAGGGAAGGCCAAACTCTGTTCTCAATTAGAAAAGGTCATTGTGCTTGTCTCAGCAAAAGATCAGTGTTCAGGGTGGACAGTGGTGTGAGAGAGGGGGTTTATAGGTGGGAGATGGAGCCCATTCAGCATCACCTGGGAGGATAGTCAGCATGCATAGGAGGAAGGGGAAGACCAAGGTGGTGCAGACCCCTCACACATCTGTTGGTTTCCATGGAGGCAAAGACCCTTACTGTGTTCACTGTTATATCCATAGTGCCTGGCATTCAACGAATGCGTGTAGACCATGAGTGAATGAGTGAAAGAACACAGGAGGATGAGCACCTTTGCTCTTTTGGTAGGGCTGGGTTGGGGAGATTGGGCAGTTCAATCTCTTGTCTTTTGCCTTTTTGAACTAAATAGTCTTCCTAAGGCCCATAGCAATGTCTCAGGAGCAGCACCGCCTGGTTGCTGCTCAGTGGTTGTCAACTGTGCACACTTGGGAGTCTTTAGGGGGATGCAGCCTTTTATGACCTGAGCCTTTAGTGACCTGAAGCATGGAGTCAAGTGTCCAAATGAGTCACATACATGGGCTAAGGAAGAGAAGCATTGTTGAGGGCTGGAGGGTTGGGAAAGCCTTTTAGGGAGGTCTGGGAAGGGTGGGTAGGAGGAGGAGGTGAGGGAGGCCCTGGTGTGTGTGTGGGGGTCAACATAAGCACGGATGTGTGTCAGATTGAAGGCCAGGAATGGGGCACACAAGCTGATCTGACTCAGGCGGGACATCTGGGTTGGTTGGGGGCCAGATCCAATTGACTAGGGAATATGGAGCTGGGTTTCTTGGGGGCTTGAATTCTGACTGCTAAACATTTGAAATAACATAGTTGCAGAACTGAAGCACCTTATAGATTAAAGTTGCATTATGCGTAAGACAGGACCTTGGCGGTGTCCTCTAACCATGCTACGCAGGCATGGCATCTGTAAAAGGGAAACAGTAGTTAACTCCCCAGAGTTAGGAGAAGCAGCCTAGATCTTTCTTAATTTTCCTAGGTTTCAAAGTGGTTAGGACTTAATTGCTTCCATCAGTTAATAACATCATAATGCTACTTAATCTGTTCTTCCCCAAAGAGTTTCTCTTTAAGTAAGATGTGCAAAAAAGGTTTGGCTCAGGAAATTAACTCTCTCAGTCCCTGGTTCTTGTCTTATTCGTTCCAGCCACCCACCCCAGGTGGATTCCAGAACATGGAGGCTTTTGGCTCCCCAGTACCATCTGTCAGCCAGTTGTCTGACATCCATCGCGGATCTCAGCCGTTCACCAAGCTGAATATGCGTGAGATAGAGAAAATGTTTAAGGAAGAAAAGACTGGAGGTAAAGCTGCCCTGGAGGCCTCATCTCTGCAACTTCTACACAGGGTGGGACCTGGGGTGTGTGGATCCAAGCATTTTTTTTATCTAGTATCTTCTTTAAAACTTTTAATCATAAAAACATTAGAAACTATTTGACAATCTAGGAAAAAAAAAACCTGGTCCAAACACCCAAACATGACCACTGTTAGCATTTTGGTATATTTCTTCCAAACAGTTTCATGTGTATGCTTTATTATCTATTGTTTAACAATATTCCCAGAATCTTAGTGGCTAAAACCAACACACATTTATTCTCTCACAGTTCTAGTGGGTTAGGAGTCTTTGCATGGCTTAGCTGGCTCCTCTGCTCAGGGTCTTTATTGGGTTGCCATCAAGTTGTCAGCTGGGGCTGCAGTGTCATCTGGGGCTTGACTTGGGAAGGATCCATTTCTAAGCTTACTCAGGTTGTTAGCAGAATTCAGTTCCTTGGCTTGGCACCTGTGGCTCAAGCGGCTAAGGC